GACCCCGCAACCTCGACCGACCTGGCCGGCGGAGCCCGCGAGCTCGCTTGTCCCCGAGCATACCGCCACGAGCGCCGTGCCCAGCACGCGCAGTCCAACGATTTGGACCCGGCGGAGGCGGAGCATCGAGCGGCTAACAACCACGCGCATTGGAGGCCCCCTCGCGACGGCGGGGGCCCGAAGGGAAGCCAACACCCTGCACACACAAAATAAATATACCTTAAAGGCCGCCTACACTGGCAAAGGTAATTATTGGACATATAGTAGCGCAGCTTTTCCTGGCCAATGGGCAGCCAGTACTCTGCCCTTCCCGGCCAAAAGACGGCCGGTACTAAGGCCACATAGACCAACAAATTGTCACAATATATGAATGCAAGAAAAGCAAAGCCCTGTATGAGCCCGTGTAGCAAGATAGCATATGTATAACAACACGTTCAGGAAAGTGCATCATCTACCATTGCCTTATATTCCATTTCTATGTTCGTTGGCCTAATACAACCTGCACTCAGTGCAATGCACTGGTAAAGGTAATCGCTAGACATATAATAGTGCAGCATTCCCAGCTGATGGGTGGCTGGTACTATGCCCTTCCCGGCCAAAAGACGGCCGGTACTAAGACCACGTAGACCAACAAACTGCCAGCAGTGTACGAATGCAAGAAAAACAAAGCCCCGCCACATGGGCGCATGTAGCAAAGGAACATATGTATGACAACACATTTAGAAAAGTGCATCATCTACCACTGCCCCATATTCCATTTCTGTATGAGAAAAAGAGAAGAAAGAGAGAAATAGCAGTAATAGGGACACAATGGGAGAAGCAGCAACCGCCCATGCACATGGCGAACCCAGCAATAGCGGCCTTTTCCCAGCCAGGTTGCGACCGCTACTCCAGCCAAGCAGAACAGCACACACACACACACACACACACACACACACCGTCGACTGAGGGCACGCCGGGCAGGGTGCAGGCTGCATTGGACTTCATCGCAGATTGGAGCGAGGAATGGGGCCTGATCTTCGACGCGGCCAAGTGCAAGGCTCTGGACGTCACCCTGCGGAGGAGGGTGGAGCCGTTACACTTGACCATGGGCGGCCGGACCATTCCCAAGGTGGATGAGATTAAATACCTGGGAGTCTGGATCGATAGTAGGCTGACCTGGCGGAAGCACCTGGAGGTCGCCTGCAATGCTTGCCTTCAACGTCTTCGAGTCATCAGGAAGCTCTGTGCTACACATTGGGGCCTGCACCCGACGGTTGTCTCCACTTTAGTGGGGGCAACGGTTTTTCCTCGTCTCTGGTACGGGGCAGTGGCGTGGGGCAGTGTGGTCAGGACGCAGGCCAGGCTGGACATGCTGGACAGGGTTCTTCGGATGTCTGCGATCATCACCCTTGGCCTTCTCAGGACTACGAGCACGGTGAAGGCCATCGCGGCGTGTGGGTGGCTTCCCGCTGATCTTCACATCCGATACGTCATCCTTCAATTCGTGCTCAGGCAGCGGGTGTATGGCCGGACTTCCTTAGGCATTGAAGATGACGACGGGGGATGCAGCCGCACCCCACGGTGCTCCACAGCGGCCTTGGCGAGGAGGGAGCTGAGGGCCCTCAGGCGTGCGCACCCCCAGGTGGTTGAGGGTTTAGAGAGGGTGGACCGCGCATGTTTTTGGATCCGCCCCCCCTGGGAGGCCCCCCCCCAGATCCCCTGCGACTTCCTCGCCAGAGATGAGGCGCAGGATCGCATCGACAGCTGCATGGAGGCTGGCGGGGGAGTGTGCATCTTCACTGACGGATCAGTCATGGAGGGGGGGGGAATGGGGCGGCTGCGGTGTTCTTCCGGGATGATCATGACGAGCTTCCTGCTACACATCCATCTCACACCCTCCTCCTCCCCATGGGCCCGCTCCTCGCCAGTACTGATACGGAGGTAGGGGGCATTCAGGGGGCTCTCCGGCAGCTACAGTCGACGCCTTCCCCGGGCAGTGCCACCCTCATCACGGACTCACAGGCTGCACTGCTGGCACTGACCGGTTCTCATTGGCGACGCTGTCGTGAGTCGGTGTGGACCACTTTGGCGCTTCACCAGGCTCTCTGGGAGGCTGGTATGCAGGTGCGGTTTTGGTGGGCCCCTGGACATAGTGGGGTGGCTGGGAATGAGCTGGCGGACAGTGCGGCGAGGAGGGCAGCTCAGGGCGACAGTCCTTCTCCGCTTGTGGACAAGTGGTGTAACAAGCGCCAGCTGGAGCGGGAGATTTGCCAGTGGTACCAAGACACGGCTAGGAGGCAGGAGAGGACCTTGGACGGGACGGTCCTGGACTCCACCGAGGATGTGGTCTTCCGTTCTCATCTCCGCTGGACCCGCGCCCTGCCCTCGCGATACGCTGTGGCATTGGTTGCGCAGTTCTTGACAGGACACTACCCTACACGCGTCTACTTGGCACGGTTTCGTCTGACGGACTCGCCCTTCTGCGACGAGTGTGGGTGCCCAGACTCCAGGGCGCATCTCCTTCTTGACTGCACCCGTTTCAGCTACCTTCGAGAGAGCCTCACATCTTGGCTTCGCGAGGAGTGGAGTGGCCGGACGCGACAGGCTGGGGAGGCTTGCCCGGGGTGGGAGTGGGATTTCCTAACGGGATCCAGCTGGGGCCGGCTCTGGCTTTCCCGCTTCCTTTGCGAGACCAGGAGGAGACACAGGCGATGGGATGACCTTGAGGCCACGCTGCACCGGGAGCAGGAGGGACGGGCGGCCCTGGGACGAGCTGGGGCGGTCAACGTGGACGCGGAGGAGGACGAGGACAGCAGTGAGGACGAGGATGTTGAGGAGGCTTGACCGGGATGTCGAGGAGTCGGAGGAGGCTTATGTGATAGAGGACGAGGATGATGTGGACCAGGGAGAGGGCTGTGCATGGCGGTCCCTTCTCTACTGTGTGGGGTCTTTTCTTTTGTTTTCTTTCTCTCTTTTTCCCTTCTTTTTTTTCTTTGCTGGTGCGGTCGTCTGGGGTGGCTCAGGAGTTCTGAGCGCGGGCGTTCTTCTCGGGCTGGGGGTTTTCTGATCTAAAACACGGACAGTGGAGTGAGACAGAGCTGGCACTAAAAACAGAACATGGCTTCAGATGGCTCCACATGGCCTCAGTTGCCGCGGAGCCCGGTTAATGTAATAAAACCGGATTTCAACAACAACAACACACACACACACACACACACACACACACACACACACACACACACACACACACACACACACACACACACACACACACACACACACACACACACACACACACACACACACACACACACACACACACAACCCGGCAAGCAGATCAATCACATGCTGACTCAGCACAGAACATGGCATAGATGTGTTTTTGCTCACAAAGTGCTTGGGGGTATGGGCTACTAGAATGCGGACAGTCCACCACCATCAAAACACAATGGCGATGCAAAAGTACACGTAGAGAATTCCGGCCTTCAACACATCTTCAGCACTCATACCCAGAATTTATGAGTACCCAAATCACTCATATGGCCATCTGCAAGCCTTGGAAGTACTCGCAAACCAAATAAAGAAAAGTCCTTCAGGCGTTGTAAAATTGTGGAAACAGCACAGCCACAACTTCCTCACAAAGTCTCCTGTGAACGAGATACCCTGACCAAGGCATTTCCATGCGAGCTGCATAGCGCTTTCTTGTGTTTCACAACCAAACATCATTGCAATCGAAAAGGCACCCCATGAGCCAAATCAGATCAAAGAAACCGTCATAACATCACAGAAGCTCATGATTAGCTTGAATAGCTTTGTAGTGGCGGTTAGCTAAGGCCATCCCATGAAACCTAAACGCCTTCTTGGGAGTAAATCAATCGCTTAAAAAGCAACTGATCCACCCAGTGAAACGGTGGTTATTATGCAGCTACGCGAACAGCCACAAGAACACGGGCTCTCTACTACCACCAGCAACAAAGGTGGGGCCGAAATAGAGCAAGAGAATTCCGCTCTTCCAACACCATTTCACCACTCAAACACTAATTTCTGACTACTTGGATCATTTACATCGCCATCTGCAAGCCATAAAGATACTTGCCCAACCGAATAACAGACTCAAGAAACTGTAAAGTTATGAGAAAACCGCAGCCACAACTTCCTGACAAAATTTCTTGCGAAAAAGATTTCTTGACCAAGGCATTTTATCTTGAGTGGCACAGATTTTTTCCATGGTTTAACATGTGTAAACATGAGTGCGATCCAAAAACATTTCCATAAGCCAAATCAGGTCAAATGAAACTGGAATTCCATCAAAGAACTTATCAGTATTTTTGATACTCTTCATAGTGGAGGTTTGCTGGGGCCAGGTTTGGTCTTTACTTTTACGGTCACGTTTACATTTACGTTAACAATTTTCGCGCTCAAGTTTTTACGTGTAGAAACGTAAATCTGCAAAAGGAGCTATTTCTACGGTTGTGCCAATGCTGCCACTCAGGGCTCCCAAAGCAAGACAACCTCCATGACGCCGGACTTCCTGTGGCCCTCTTTGAACATCTTGGACTTCGACTGGCACAAGGTACTAGGTGGACAGAACCGAAGTGAGGGGTCTGAAATGGCCATTGAGATTCAGATGCCGATTCAAACAACCGATGAAGCCCATCCAGTGCCGCCTTTGGCAGCAAGCCATTGACAGGATAGTCAATTTCATTCTGAAGATTAGAAAAGCCACAATGAGCTACTTTTGAGGCTGGTATTTTTCGTACTCTGGCTTGTAGTACATTGGGCAGCTGTCATGTGATTGACAACGAGTGTTGTGAGTTTGTACTGATGCGATGATGGACGTGTGATCATGTTGACATCTCATATCCACATGCGACATGCGCATTCTTAGAGCTTCCGATTCCATCACAGCCTGCCAGCACAAAATACTGATGGTTGTCCAGCGAAGAAGCAGCGTGGCTGGAATTCCTTCGGCGTGTCCACAGCGAAATGTTCACATGCCACCAGAAAGCGAGAAGCATTTGTGTAGCACAAGCTCCAGGCGGTGTGGACTTGCTGGGCCACAATACCTCGACGCCCTGTTGTGTCCGTCCGGCAGAAGGTGGCTTTGGGGAAGAGCAGTCGCACTGGCTGCTGTTCATCGGCCCGAAAAGGGCGCTGGCCGGTTGTTGTGATCCATGGGCAACTGGCAGCACTCTCAGCCCCTCTCCCTTCCGTCGGAGCTCCACCAGCAGAATCTATTCCATAGCCTTAAAGCATGCTCAAATACAAGTACATCGTTTCAAACACGGATGACCCAGTTCTTACTGGGAGAGGGGCAATCAGTAGCCTTACTCCCAAGTAACAACACACTCCACCGTGACTGAGAATGTGCTGACCATGCCCACAACCACGAAAACACCACCCTGCACAAATATTTATGGGGACAGCAGCTTGTGCAGCTGTATGAAGGCATATGCCAAAAATCAAACTTTCATCACCCTAACAAAAGAAATGGACCTGGCGCTCAGTTCCAAAACTGCAGACCCCCATGAGACCTAGGTCCCTGATGCTGTCCTCGAAGGTCTGCCAAGCCGTTTCCTGGACCCAGGGGGCAATGCCGTTTCGCCTCAACCTTGCCCTCATCGCGTGCACAGAACCCAGTACCGCCATGTCGAAGCTGAATGACATCCTTTTTGGTTACTTCTTTCCCTGCATACACCAGCCAACGGCAGGATCAATAAGCAAAAGCAGCTCGTCAAGCGCCCGCCTGCGGCACCTCATGCTGGATCCACAGACATGTACGGTGCAAGGAAGCCCTTAGGCTGTGTCATGTTCATTACGACCAGCCCTTTCTGCATTCAAGAAAATCGGAGCTGGCAGTGCATTTCCCTCACTGCCTTTCCCTGCTCTCCATAAATTACAGTGCCTGCCACTTATTCGCCCAAGCTCATGGACCAGATGAAGCTTGCCGTCCTGACAGCGGTTTGTTTTGAAAGTCATTTGTAATGAATTTTTACTCGCCCACACGTACACAGCAGGCATCACCACAATCATGATTCCTTTCGAGCAGGACATGTTCACTGCAACGGCCTGCTGTGGTGGCATATGGGAGTCGTAGAAGCATGATAAAGCCAAAGGACAGTGATCACCCAGAAGCTCCTGTGTTGAATATCATGTGAAACAGCTCACACTGAACACAGCAATCATGGCTATCCCAACAATCCCATGGCGATGGGCTTCCCAGGAATGGCATTGAATGCAAAAGACAAGACTTGGAGCCACACTGACAAAACTAGTTCAGACGATACTCAAGCAGACTGGATTGTATGTGGAGCACACTCCTGCCCCAAGCCGTGTCTTGCTAGTTGACCACAAAGAGGGGCGAAAATACACACAAGCAAACCTACCTTCGTATTTGCCATCAGGCTTCACACATTTCTCATACGTCTCCTGTAGCATCACCACACCCCCAGGTTTGAGCACCACCAGCTTGCTGGTGTTTGTGAATGTCGTCCTTGTCACAGGATCCATATACCTTCCCCCATCCTCTGGAGGAGCCCTTGTGAAATTCAACTGGATCAGGTCCTTGAGGCGCAGTTTCCGGCCTGTGCCCGGGCACAATGTGTCCATTGACGGCTTGTTCAGAGCACCTCTGGCCTGTGGCGTTTGGGATGGGTGCCAGAAAGACTGTAGAAGCAACAACACTTTGTCAGCTGGTTCAAAATGACGGGGCAAATCTGGGGCAGTGGCCTCTGCCTGCGCCTGGAAGCAGGCAAATGGCCAAAACTGGTGCAGAGCATTGCAACACATTGCTGATAACCACTCCACCAACACATGGTTGCAGCAACAACTCTTTGCGATTTGGCAGTCCCCCTGGTGATCAACGTCAAGATCACTACAAGGACAGATACTTACAGATGTGCATAGCACCCGACCAACAGGATAACTGCAAGGGAAAGCTTTCAGCACTTGCTCCCAATGTGGACATTGAACCAAGGGCCACAGCAGTGCCAGTCCTGCTGAGATACTGTACAATCTGCACAGCACTTACATTGTGCAAAAAGCAGACAATGATGTGCGACAGCAGATGGGGAAAATGTCCGAAATGCCAGTGCCTACCTTCAATTCTTTCATCCGCTCCTTGTTCTCCTGTATTGACACAACACTCTTTGCCATCTTGTCATCATGCATGTGGTCTGCTGTCTGCTTGAAAGCAGATTGAAGCTTGTTGACCGTCGAGTCTGATGCACCCATGTGATTCTGTCGATCGAAGGACACGAGCCTTGCCTCTGCCTGCAGGCGTGCCTTCTCATCTGCCTGTTCGCACCCACAGCAGGCCCTCAAGATTGGCCAGCAGCTTTGGATGCAAAATGCTCACTCCCTGCTGGGCAACTTCCACAATGGGATCCACAAACGGGCAGGTATATGCGATTAGCACATCACAAGAGTACACCGATGATGGAGGTCACTTCAAGTTCAGATACACAAGCAACATTTCTGCCCATAGTTTCAAAGAATGCGCCATGTGTTGATGCTCAAGAATTCTTGCAGTTCTGATAGAATGACTGTTTCTGAAGAAATTAGTTTTCGGCTCACAGCCACTGCACTGCATCATGGGTCCAAAGCTGTCTGCCAGAGGTAGAGCCAAGGCACTGTACCTGAATTCAGTATGTCCTTCTCAATAAGAGCCTTGACCACAGTTGACTGAGGTTCTAACCTTGATGGAATTTCCCCCCAAGTTGCCCCACTCCCACCCGAAAACCCACCACTCCACACACACACACACCCCCCACACACACAGAACATAAAGAAAGTGACTTTTGGTGCAAATCTCTGGGATGCTTTGGTTGCCAGAAGGTACTGCTGGCACGTATAATGAGATGCGAATCCAGGTTTTGACAATTTGGAGATTTATTGGGACACGGAAGCAACAGAGTGCTATTCAGTACTGAACATCGCTGGAATCCAGTGAACAGTGAGAACACCAACACAGTCTAGAGAGAAGTGGCTGGTTCACTATATTTTCTTGCCTGCAAGACTTGCCTGCCGTTGCTCCTCTGCCTGTTGGGCTTCCCATGCTGCTAATTTCCGCTTGTTGGCCTTCCGTTGTTCCAGGAGGTTCTCCAAGATGGCCTCCCTGCTATAGACGATTCCATCGGGTGTGCAGACAGGATCCTGTCACAGCCAGGCTGCTGCATGACGGCAATGACCAGTTTGCCAATTCTTGTTGACACTATTTGCGGCAGCACAGATGTGCCAATGTGTTCTTCCCGCTATTGTTTTGCCCTGTATTACAAGACACTTTCTTGTTCCAGAATGCAGGAGATATTCAAACTGGCAAATCATTGTTGGATGACAAGGACAGTGAAAAGCAAACTGGCAGGGTCCGGCTCATGCACAGCTGTGTAATTGTGTAGGATTTGTTTGCAACGACATCTTTGATTGCCAGTTCCATGTTCCTGGAGTGCATGGGGAACAATACTACTTGACATGCAGTGCACTGTTAGAGGATTAACAAGGAACAGTTGAGGCAGTACCTTGATTGAACAGAGTTGCGAGCTTCCCAAGTTCACAGTGCAGAGACATTCGCTGCTGTACAAGGCTGTGGCTGTCCTTTCCCGCCACAACTGGCTCAGCACATATTGTGACATTGCCCAGAGATAGAATCAAATCGACCAACAGCGTGGCCATACGAGCTTCAGTTCAAAATTTTCCAGCCGTGCTTGGGTTAGACAGCTGTGTCAGGCGGCTTCTGACTGCAACAGTCAGATGAAGCTGATTGAGCTGATTGCAGGTAAGTGTACCTTTGCCGGCTGCAGAGTCAGAGCGCAGTCATCGAAATTGCCTTGCGAATCCTGCGCACACGACACAAGAAGCTTCAGTGCCAGCAGGTTGAATCCCCATCCTGGTGCTGGCCAGCGAACAGCATGCTGGGCAGGGAACGCGCTTACTTCCCTGCGTCCAATGACCCAGTTATGGAGAACATGCACAGTACCGACCCGCACAATCCGTCAGCAGCACATACCAATGTTGCCCCCACACATGCTGATTCCCTGGATGTGCAGAACCATGAGCAAAAGCGGGTATCGCAACACAAAAAGCGACTCAGTCTCGCAGGGAGGTCGGTTGGTGCGGTGCGTGGGCTGGCCTTCCCACACGTGCAGCATCCGCACCTTTCCCAAGCGCTCCGTCACGGTGCCGTATCCGAGTTTCCTTTTCTCGCTGTATGTGAGGGCCTCGGAGCCCATGACCCCGGCATTCTTGCTATGGCGCTGCCCACCGCGACCCATGGCTGCGACCTCCCGCCGCCCACTTCGCGTGGATCAGAAGGTGTTGCGAAAACGGCAGTTCGACCGACGCGCAACGGCACCGTTTGCCGCCGTTCGTGCCCTTTGGTGGACGGGGGGGGGAGAACTCTGCCCGCTGTGGCGGAACAACCGAGGGGGGCACTTCGAGCAGGGCAACCTGGGCCAAAAACGACACGACAATGAGCAAAAAGAAGAAAAACACACTGACGTGGAGGCACACGTCAGGGCGCACACGACGAGAATATATTACAGTACAGTGCGGTGGCCTCTTTTAAGGCCCCCCCAGGACAACCCCATTTCACCGGCCTTATTGACCATTGGCCTTATTAGGGAAACGTTATTCACTCGCTGCCTTCCAATGTCAGCATGGAGGCCCCGGACCAGGGCCGGGCGGCGCCGGGCAGGCCCAGCACGCTGGCGCATGGTTTTTCCGCGCGCGCCCCGTGCGATGGATCGACGATCCCTCTGGCGATTGGCCAGGCATAATCGGCACGGTCGCTTAAGCAATCTCGATGCGGCGCGGACGTGGTGGGCCCCTTGGCGGAACGGCCTCTGCGGTGCGTCAGTCGGAAGGGCGGATTGGGTCCGGCGTTGCCTTGTGCGCGGTTCGCAGGCAAGCAGTGACAACAAAACGGAATGTTCGTTACAGGGTTCCCAGCGTCTTGTCCCTGCGGCACACAACACGGTTGCATCACCCTCAAGTCACTCTGTACTTAAACCACCGTCTCTACAAGCACCCAGACCGTCCTCAAAGCCCTCATTTCTATGCAGCGAAATAGCCCAAAATAGCCAAAATCCCAAAATCTCCTTGCTGCGCTCGATGTTCCGTGAAGGCGCGGATAATTGGTGTTGTGGAATTACTTGGGGGTAGTTACAGCCAAGTTTCTTGGGGCCAACTTAGTGGCCCTGGCTGTTCATTTATGGAGTATTCTGGGTGGTTGTGAGCTCCTGGGGACTGGTGGAGACGTGCCGAAACAATTACATTACATTCTGTCTCTGTACAGTACATTTCTGGTGTGCCGGCCACCCAATGTAGGGTGAGTCAGCTGTGCTGCGCGGGAGTGGCAAAACCGCGCCTGTCTGACTTTCTGTAACTACATTTGGACCCCAGCACCCGCGCTTGCCGCCACTGAGCGCGAGGAGCCCATTCCGCCGGACCTTCGGGTCCTGTGCCGCACCCCGGCGATCCATCGGATCACAAGGGCCCACCACAGCGAGCGAGAGGGGAAGCGAGCGCCCCGAGACGCCACACCACGAGGTGTGAGAGGCTGCCCATCGGCAGCAATTGGGCGCCGTCGGGAGGCGCCCAGAAAGGCATCGAACCACCCCATCAGGTGGTTTCGGAGCTGGTGACCGGGGGGAACACGGACGCACGACGCGGGAGCGAGGAGAGTGGCCGCGAGAGGGGCGAGATCGGGTGGAGATCCGGCCCCGCGGATCCGGAATCGGGGGAGGTGGTCACCGTGGGATTCCGCGGTGAATCACCGGTCGATTGTGGAGGCGCCAGCCCGTAGGAAGGCAGCGCGAGCGAGTTCGATCGACGGGGAGCCGGAGGGATGCAGGCCCACGCCAAAGGACGGAGCAGCAAGGCCAGCCGCGGACGAGGCGAGCCGCAGAGTTGACAGCAGCCAATCAGAGACGAGCAGCCCTGTCATGTGACAATCCCGGGCACGCGGGGGGAAGGCGCCCCATCACGTGACAATCCCGGGCACGCGTGGGGGGAAACCGCCCCGTCACGTGACAATCCAGGGGGAGCGGGAGTACTGATGCCTATTGTGATGTGGCTGCTTGGGGTTAGGCAGTTATTGACGTTTTGTGGAGTGGGAATTACATAATTGGGTAAATCGCCCTTTTGTGGGTGCTATTTAGAGCTTCTTGGTTCCAATGAGCTTTTAAATGCCCGATTCCGTTAAGAAACGGCGAAGATATGGCCTCCTGAAGTCGTAGTACTTAGGGCCAGGGGGTCGGGTGTTCGATGCTTGGAATTAGAGGACATTAGGTCGATCGTAGGTGAACGGTGGATGGCGACGATGTGCCTGGACGTGCACCTGACTTGTCTTGTCTTGATGTGACAGCGATGGACCCGCGATCGGGCATCGCGCATGCGGATTTATGCGCGCGCATGCTGTGAATCGTGTAACACCGTTCTGGCCCACTCTCTGGCCTCCTGCGAGCCAACGAACTACCACACCGCTACGCCGCCACCTCTCGCCGACAGCAGGCCCCGGGGATCGATCCCCGTTGAGCATTGGGCCCACCGCGCGACCGCCTATACGTCTGCCCCGGAAACGCCCACCATCCGAGGTGGAGAGGCTAGCCGACCTCCAACGGCTGTGCTGCAGGGCAGGGCGACCCCAGAGCCTCCGGAAACCAGCGGCTGCCGATGGGCCGCAACACCTACCGGCAGTACTTTGGAGCAGCTAGAAGCCACCAGTACCGGGACCAGCGATCAGTGAGGCTACTGCAAGGCTACAGGAGGGATTCCAGCCCAAGCCAACAGTACTTTAAGACTACCTCAGTACTTGGTGACCAAGGCAGGGAAGCAGCTCAGTACTTAAGGGCTGTAGTACTACCACAAAGTACTGCAAAACCGCTCCACACCCAAGAAAGGTGGGTTGGCTGCTATTCCTGCATAGTGGTCGTGACGTGTGGGGGAGACCTGTGTGGATCCGAGCAGGCCCCTACTAAGGGACTGTGTACCCCCGGCGCACGATCCCACTGAGCCAAGATCAGTGGTAAACTCGCTTTCGTGCAAAATGTCGGTAAGGGGGCCATAAAAAACAACAAAATGTGCATTTTGCGCACTAGCAAAATGCAAGAAAAATGCCATAACAACAGGGATGCACACAAACGTGCCATTTTTCGGGGCAGCACACGCGGGAGGAAACCACAATGTTGCGCACAAAAAGAATTAGTTTGAAGCCAGTCGGGGACGCCTGCAACCAACCACACTCAATGCATGCGACCCACAGGCTGTGGGTCCAGCATAGCTTTGCACTAACAATTACAATTGGCGATGCACACTATGGAAATTACAAGCCGCTAGTTATAGAAATGGCCCCTCCCTTGTCTAGCACATTTCATCCCAACGCTCCAGCTCCGCCTGGAGACGCCGTTTGTACTGGGGGTGGATGCACCCCCTCCCAACCCCATTGGCCTCCAACCAAACATCGCAAATGACGTTGTCGGAGGACACCTCCCCCTGTATTTGCCGCCCTTCCACCCAGCGCCCATTCAGCTGGGCATCGTCCGCGGCGTCAAAAAGGAGGGTCCCCAAGTTGTAGGGGGGTCGGGGCTGGAACTCGCTCTCGTAGTACGCGACTGTGAATACTTTCTTCACCGATGAATCACACCCCTCCGCGGCCCTGGCCCCCTTGACAAGGGCAATGTCGAAGCACCGGCCCCATTCCTTGGCATCGGCGTCGGACATGGCGATGGCCACCTGGTGGCCGGCTGCTATGTCTCGCGCGGCGTCAAAGGGGACATACTCTCTGTCATTTGGGAGAGTGGAGAGGTGTCCAAATAGCAGGGGGCGCTCCCCGGGCACCGGGCCAATGTCCCTGCGGACGACACCGCCAGTGTGATGGTGAGGCAACCACGGGGAGGGGGGGGGGGGGCAAGCAAGTGGAATCACCGCGGGCGGACGGGATGTTGCACACGGCGGCGCGCGTACCTTGCGACGGGGGGAGCGGGGGCGTTGGAGGCGCTGCTGGGCGCAGTGGAGGGGGTGGCCAGCGCGGCGGGTGACAAGCTGTCCAGCCGAAGTGCGGCCCCCTCGTCGATGGCGAACGTGGGTCTGCCACTCCCGTCGAGAGGGAATGTGCGCTCGTGGGAGGCAATGAAGCCCTCCCACCATCGCACGGCTCTGGCCATCCGGTGGAGCTTGCGCCGTTTGATGTCCTCCGCGGCGGTGGGGTCCCCACACACGTCAAGTTGGCGCCTCCACCTGCCAATCTTCCCGATGACCCTCTTCTTGACGTCCTCGAAGTCTTGAAGTGCTGCCCTTGGCTCCCAGCGGAGGTCGGCAAACCTCGGGGCGGGTTTCCCCAGGACGAACACCGGCCATCCCCGGCCGTCGGGCGTGCCCACCCACGGGCTGTCCTCCCTGTCGTGTTCGCGGGCGAACACGACGGGCTCCCCCCCCTCCAGGACGAACTTAAAGGAGTGGAAGCACCTGCCCAAAGGATCGCACACAGCAATGAAGCACTGTGGAGCCGGGGAGGCGTCATTGCGGCGAGCGCCGTCCGCCGGCGGACCAGGCGGCAGGCGGCACACCGGCATATACCGTGGGGTGTACCCCTAAAACGCTGTCAGAAACGGCGCGGGTTTGCGCGCGGCGTGCGCGCGAACCTTAGTTGCCTGCCAGCAAACTTGGGAAGGCAGCGGACACAAACCACACCCTTGACTAGGAGAAGGGAGGGACCGTGTGGAGGACACATCCAAGGGTAGGCGCACAGGTCCTCCCTAGCAGGCAAGTCGCTCATTGCCCACGAGTAGTGGCGAGGAGGACACGGCGAAAGGGTGAAGCCGCTGCTTGCAATCAAGGCTGTGGGTGGCAAGCCGGGAAGAAAGTGACGCCGCACGAGCTGGATCGGGGCTGTGGAAGGAAGCGAGGCGCACGTCGAGGCAGCAACTCCGCATTCGCGCGCGCGGCGCGCGCATGCGCACGCCAGTCCCGCACACGACAAGAGCGGACAGCAGAGGTCGCCCGAGCCGGCCATTGCGAGCGCACCTTTTGTTGTCCCGTCCCATTCCGAGGCCTCTGAAGGTGTGCATACGGACGCCCGCATCCCCGTCCTTGCCGTCCTCCTCCTCCTCCTCCTCGACGCCCCGCCGGCGGTCGCGCTTGTACCTCAAGAGGCGCCGGAAGTCGGCAACGCGGTCCACCCGCGTGTTCACCTTCCGCGAGCTCCCCACACTCGCGTGCTCCCCCCACGCCCGGTGCGCCACGCCCATCAGGTCCTCCAAGCAGAGCGCCCCCT